TAGAAACATCAATGATGAGAGAGAATTATTGATCAGCTGCCTCCTGCACACCCCTTACTAGGGATCAAGTCCACAACCTGGGCATGTGCCCTGACTGGGAATCAAAATGTGACCTCCTGGTTCATAGGTTGATGCTCAACCACTGAGCCACGCCAGCTGGGCTTTCTAGTTGTAGTTTTGATTTGCATTTCCCTAATTGCCAGTGAGGTTGAACATCTCTTCATGTGTCTATTGGCTGTTTGTATGTCTTTTAGGAGAAGTGTATTTTCAGGTCCTCTGCCTACTTTTGATTGGGTTGTTTGTTTGGTATTGAGTTTTATGAGTTCTTCTTATATTTTGGATATTATACCTTTGTCTGAACCACTATTTACATATATCATCTCCCACTGATTTTTTTAATGCCAGATTTACAGAAACATAACATTTGCTTCAGATGTTAAATGTTTACAGTGATAATATTATTTTCTTATTGCTCTTAGAGAATTGTTGATTATTTTAGCTTACAAATTTTGAGGTAAAGAATATTTGGTTAAATCATATTCTAGAAATGTTGGGCAGTTTGAAAATAGCTCCTCATTGTAGCCCAATAAATGCTGTGCCCTATTATTATCAGAGAAATGCCTGGATGGCCTTTCTCTGTTGCTAGCAGAAATAGGACCCTTATCATCTCAAGAAAAATAACTTTGAGACTCACACAGGAGGACGAGTGCCCTTTACTTGTGTAGAGTTACATCTTTTCCAAAGTCCCATTTCCTTAATCTAGTCCCGGAAAATATTCAGCTGGGGATTCAGTGGAGCTAGAAGCACAGCCAGTGCCCAGTTTCCGTTCCATGGTGGAGCTGGGTCTGGTTTAGCAATAGGCTGGTTGCACATTAGTCCATTGTATGGCTCACGTAGTCCGTGAGCCACGTGGGCGAGTGCAGGAGCGTGAGAGTCCCACAAGCCAGCAGTCAAGCGCAAGCAAGGAAAAGCTTACAACCCAACAGCAAGAGGGCAAACTCCTTTGTTTAGGGGATTAAATATCCTAAATCTTCTCGGGCCAATGACCTGTTGCCAGGTGTGACTAACAAACAAGTACTCCCCTAAGTCACCCAGACTTTCCTGGGCGTGTGTTACACTGCAGCTTTGCCAGGAAGCTGCATACAAGTGTCATGCCTATAAAATTTGGCCTTTCCTTGTTCCTTTCTGTTCATTTACTATTACCAGTTAATTACAACAGTATTGCAATCACTTGGCAGGTGACATCTAGGACCCTGTCCCTGGTTCACAGAATTACAGAAGCAAGGAGAATGAAGAGAGAGGACGAGTGCAGGAGCGTGAGAGTCCCACAAGCCAGCAGTCAAGCGCAAGCAAGGAAAAGCTTACAACCCAACAGCAAGAGGGCAAACTCCTTTGTTTAGGGGATTAAATATCCTAAATCTTCTCGGGCCAATGACCTGTTGCCAGGTGTGACTAACAAACAAGTACTCCCCTAAGTCACCCAGACTTTCCTGGGCGTGTGTTACACTGCAGCTTCCTGGCAAGGCTGCACAGGTGTCATGCCTATAAAATGTGGCCTTGCCTTGTTCCTTTCTGTTCATTTGTTACCAGTTAATTACAATGGTATAAAGACTCAACTATTATATTTCATGAGTTGTAATCTCTAGGCCAAAGTAGAATTGACTCTCTTATTTAACTTTGCTGAAAATGAACGGGAATACTTATGCCCTGGAAAAATAAGGTAACGGTTAAAATTTTGCAGGTAACAATTAGGACCCTGTCCCTGGTTCACAGAATTACAGACGCAAGGAGAGTGAAGAGAGAGGGGAGAGATAAAGGGAATGGCATCACATGCTTCTTCCTGTGAGGCCTGTTATGTGTATAATTTTCCCAGTACCTCTATAATGCAGCCATAAGGAATCCATTGCAGAAGGGAACCCAGAAACTGAGGTGTTAATGAGGGAGGAAAAGCAGAAAATGAATCTGACCCATGGCTACATTGCCAGTAAGTGGTAGAGCCAAGTTTGAAATCCTTATTTGTTCCGTGATATCACACTGCCCCCTGCACCACAGTGTATAGTGTCTTAGCTTTATCCAGCATTGGAGACAAAGAAGGAAAGGGAGGAGTAAGGAGACGGGAACGTTGTCAGTCAAGACTTCTTTGTGAATAAAATTTGATCCTATTGAGAATTGTGTGGAGGAGGTATCAAAGTCCTGTGAAAGAAGGTTGTTGCGTTAAATGACATTTAAAAGATTTTTTTAAACAATGTTTCTACCGCACATCAAATCTTAAAACAGGTACGGTGTCTAGATTTTCATATTAGGGGTTAGGTTGTGGCTCTCACTTTAAAAACTCTTTTCTCAACTTTGTGTTAGGTCTTTAGAGAATGACCTGTCATTGAGGTTGAACTTGGATCAAAGACTCTGTCTGGATTCGGATGATGAAGCAGACCTTGTCAAGGAACTTCAGAGTATGTGCTCCAGCAAATCCGAGTCTGATATAAGCAAGGTAAGCAGCACAAACAGGGAGGACGTTAAGTGACTCCATCCAGCAGTGGAGAGACTTCTTGGAGCTACATTATAATGCTCATTCCCTGAAAGAAGTCCCTTAGGGAACAGCGTGGTTAACGCTGCAGATCAGAGCAGCGCTTGCCTTGCTCTGAAAAGCCCTTTTTTCCAAAATATTATTTATGCAATAGGAATCTCTATTTAAGCACAGATTGCTTTTCTAAACTCTGAAAAACCTGAAGCTAAAATTGCATGTGTTCATTATAGCTCAAATCACACCAGCACCTTCGTGCAGCATTGGGTTAAGTCTCTTCGTTCCCTCGGGCTTTTCCCTAACGTTGGCAGCAAGTCATCTGTCAGTAAGAGCATCACAGAAGGCGGAGCAACTGCAACCACTTTCCTTACAAATAAGAAACATAAGAGGCCTGTATCATGTCCATAGTCATAGTCTTTATGCTGTGAAAAGTGAGATCCAGGTATGGGTATGTATCAGTGACCCACAATCTGAAAGAAGGCATTAGTAGCATAAAGTGCAGCCTGTTCGGGCATGCCGATATCTGCAGCAAATTGGACCAGAGTTCCTCGATAAATGCCATTAAGTTGAGAGGGAGCATAACTTGTGCAGCTTCCACTGAAAGACTCACTATAATATTTCATGAACTTGGCTCTCAAAAGAAATTTCAATCGTTGTACTGTTGATGTTTGGCTCTGTTGACTAATGAGTTTGCCGACCGCTGGTCTAGTGCAGTGGTTCTCAACCTTAGCTGCACATTAGAATCACCTGGGAATCTTTTTAAAATCCTGATTTCTGGGCCTCATCCTTCAGAAATTCTGTTTCTTTGTTATGGGGTGAGGCCACAACATTAGTAACAAAGAAACAGAATTTTCGGAGGATGAGGCCCAGAAATCAGGATTTTAAAAAGATTCCCAGGTGATTCTAATGTGCAGCTAAGGTTGAGAACCACTGCCTTAGGGAATGTTTCTCATGCATTTGCTGTTAACTCACATGAAGGCTTCAAGTCTTCCATGGGAACAGTACAGGACTTGAGGGTACGTTCTGCAGAGCTCCTGTCCGTAGATGAAAGAAGAGAAAGAGAACACTTCTGCTTCTGCTTTTCCATTGACTTTAAATTGTGCCTTGAGTGTTACAGTCTAACTGTGAAAACACGACTTGATTCATAGTATATTTTCCAGATTGCAGATTCCAGGGATGATTTAAGGAGATTTGATAGTCCAGGAAACAACCCTACATTTTCACCAACTGTTCATAATCTAAGAATGCCAGTGTCACAAAAGGTAAGTGTTCATTTGCCCCCAAAATCAGACAAACATGGATAGCTTTGGAATTGACTTCACAAACCTTCTTTCAATGTAAATCACAAAGTTATTTTTAAACCACAGCTATGAAGTGAGAAATAGGATAGAGGTCAATATGTTAACTAGTTAAGCAAAGTTGTAAAGCTTACTGTTTAGATAATAACTTGAAAGAATGACCAGAAAAGCATTACTTTTAATCCTCACCTGAGAACATGCTTTTTTGTTTGTTTGTTTGTTTTGTTTTGTTTTTTGTTTAATCCTCACCCAAGGTTATTTTTCCATTCATTTTTTTAGGGAGAGTGGAAGAGAGAGGGAAAGACAGAGAAAAACATCGATGTGAGAGAAGCACATCAATTGGTTGCCTCCTGCACAAGCTCTGACCAGGGCCTGGGCCGGGGAGGAGCCTGCAACCCAGATACCATTGCCCTTGTAGGGTTGTTTCCTGGACTATCAAGTCTCCTTAAATCATCTCTGGAATCTACAGTCTGCCCTTGACCGAAATCAAACCTGGGACCCTTTGGTCCGCAGGCTGACACTCTATCCACTGAGCCAAACCGACTAGGGCACGTGCTTTTTTTATTATTGATTTCAGAGAGAGAGACTTTAACATCGATGCGAGAGTGAAACATTGATCGGCTGCCTCCCACACTTGCCCAGACTGGGGATCGAACCCCTGACCTTTTGGTATATGGGAGGACACTCCAACCAACTAAGCCACACTGGCCAGGGCAGCAGTACTTTTATATATATATATTATTGATTTTTTTTTTACAGAGAGGAAAGGAGAGGGATAGAGAGCCAGAAACATCAATGAGAGAGAAGCATTGATCAGCTGCCTCATGCACACCCCCTACTGGGGATGTGCCTGCAACCAAGATACATGCCCTTGACCGGAATCGAACCTGGGACCCTTCAGTCCGCAGGCTCTATCCACTGAGCCAAACTGGTTAGGGCCGCAGCAGTACTTTTTGTTAACTTCTGTTTGAGACCTAAAATTATAGTCCAAAATGTGGGGTGTCTTTTGAGAAGGTCTCCATTTGTTTTCATTTGTATCTGGGTTGCTTCATTTTAAAATGTATTGTTTTTATTTTCATTTGCGAACTTTTATGATTTACTGCATTTTGGAATTTTGTTTATTTATTTATTTATTTATTTATTCTTTCTTTTTTTCCCCCTGACTCCCCTCCTCCCAGTTCCCGCCCCACCCTCCGCCCTCACTCCCCACCCACTGTCCTCATCCATAGGTGCACGATTTTTGTCCAGTTTCTTCCCGCATCTCCCATTCCCCTTTCCCCCCCAAGAATAGTCAGTCCATTCCCTTTCTATGTCCCTGATTCATTATAATCACCAGTTCATTCTGTACATCAGATTATTTATTCACTTGGTTCTTAGATTCACTTGTTGATAGATGCATGTTTGTTGTTCACAATTTGTATCTTTACCTTTTTCTTCTTCCTCTTCTTAAAGGATACCTTTCAGCATTTCGTATAATACTGGTTTAGTGGTGATGAACTCCTTTAGCTTTTCCTTATCTGTGAAGCTCTTTATCTGACCTTCAATTCTGAATGATAGCTTTGCTGGATAAAGTAATCTTGGTTGTAGGTTCTTGGTATTCATCACTTTGAATATTTCTTGCCATTCCCTTCTGGCCTGCCAAGTTTCTGTTGAGAAATCAGCTGACAGTCGTATGGGTATTCCCTTGTAGGTAATTGAGTCTCTTTCTCTTGCTGCTTTTAAGATTCTCTCTTTGTCTTTTGCTCTTGGCATTTTAATTATGATGTGTCTTGGTGTGGTCCTCTTTGGATTCCTTTTGTTTGGGGTTCTCTGCGCTTCTTGGACCTGTAAGTCCATTTCTTTCACCAGGTGGGGGAAGTTTTCTGCCATTATTTCTTCAAATAGGTTTTCAATATCTTGCTGTCTCTCATCTTCTGGCACCCCTATTATTCTGATGTTGGTACGCTTGAAGCTGTCCCAGAGGCTCCTTACACTATCTTCGTATTTTCGGATTCTTTTTTCATTTTGCTTTTCCGGTTGGGTGTTTTTTGCTTCTTCGCATTTCAAATCTTTGACTTGATTCTTGCGCTCCTCTGGTCTGCTATTGGGTGTCTGTATAATATTCTTTATTTCAGTCCGTGTATGCTTAATTTCTAGTTGGTTCTTTATCATAGCATCGAGGGTCTCATTAGTTTTCGTGACTCTCTCCTCAAGTTTATTGACAGCTTCTAGCACATTTTTGCAAGCCCTCAAAATTGCGATTTTTAGCTCTATATCCTCCATTTCTGTCATGTTTTTTTGTCTCCGCATTTTTTATGCTTTCTTGGTGCACCCTCTAGTGGTCTTTGTGCGCAGTCTTGTTCTAGTTGAGCCTTGATTGTTGTAGTTAATACTAGAGGGATTTGACCACCAGGCCGACTGGCTGTGTGAATCAGCTGTGTCTGCCGCGGAAAACTTCTGTCCTCTGGGGAGGTGCTAATCTAGCCTTTGCCTGAGGCGATCCGGCAAATGGCTCTGCGCAGGGCTTGGGCGGGGCGGGCTCAACAGGGCGGGCGGAGGGAGCCGTTATGGTGCCCTCAGTCCTGTTCCCAGAGGCTCTGCTTCTCAGAACCCCCGGAACCGCTGCAAACCTCGGAGGGAAAGCTGCCTTCCAACTGATGCCAGACACTCCCGCTTCTCCCGTTTGGGTCCGAGTCCCCAGCGATTCGCCCGTATCTGGAGCTCAGAGTCTGAGACTCCCCCCTGACCGAAAACGACAACCGCGCTCTCAGCCACCAGCCCGCTTTGCGCGCGCACCTCCGCACCTGAGTTTTTTCCACACTGCGCCTCCTCTGAGCCTCGGTGTGCTGTTATTTTTCCTTCTAGTTGAAGAGTCTCTCCTCAGCCAGCCTTCCTGTGGTTCTGGGTGATGTCCGTTCCGTCTTTTAGTTGTATTTTTGAAGTGGTTGTTTGCGGCAGCAGTCTCCAGTGTTTACCTATGCCGCCATCTTTGCATTTTGGAATTTTGAAGTTAATTACAGCAAAGGGCTGAGCGATTAATATAAAGATATTTTATGTTTAAAAACTCTTATTTTTAGCTTAGTTTCTTAACTTGCCTGAACATGCATCATGTTTCATTGAGAGACTTTCCTTTAGTCAGAATGTCACTTAGAAGAGCCAGGATTCCAGAAGACTTCATCATTTACCTCTCTAAATAACTTCCACAATTGGTTTAATAAATTCCAAGAGGCGGACCAGCATGGTACTCCTGGGTGAACAGAAACAATAAAACTATTTCTCAGCCAGGAGCTATTTTGTGAGGGTGCTGGTCTTGCAGATGCATTTAGTAATACGTGGTTTGCTCACCAAGCCATGTCAATTGTGGCTCACACCCTGTTCTCATCCACTCCCCTGTGGCTTCCAGAGGCCTGTGGAGGAGTGCAGAGAGCCAGACTATACAGTGAGGGTGGTGAGACTGTTCCATTATGAATCCTTATCTGATCACCTGGCAGCCTGGGCCCCTGTTCTCTCACTGCTTCACTAGGCTTCGGTTCTGATGAGTTATATGTGAAACTATGTGAGCTGTGTGCGTTGGGGGAAGAGGTGGGGGCCAGGAGGTAGTGGCAAGGCTGAGTCCCACATAAAAATGCTTAACATGATGACCTGTAAAGACGAACATGCCCTTTCTGGCTCACCTCATCATCTGTCTGCTTTTTTCTTTGTCTTCAATCGGGAACAGTTTGGAAGCACAGAAAAAGCTTGATTTGGAGAGCGCATAAGAGAGGATGACCTGGAGGTAGCCGGAGGCACTGCTGAGAATTCTGACTAGAAAATACTTGTTCAGGAGCTGTCCCTGAGCTTTGGCTGGGAGCACATTTCTTGGTGTGCCAGGCCCACTCTTTAGGATTCCTTGTGCAATAGCCAGTGGAAGGAGCCATGAAGGTCTAGGAAGAGCAACAAGGAGTCACTGCTTCTCCACAGGCCGGGTCACTTTCTATATAAAAATTTTGACTGGTAGTGACCGGCTTCCTTTGTTTCAATGTCGAATGGAGACCCAGATTTGTACCTCTACCTCTCTGTCACATGACCCTGTTCAGTTGCTACAATAAGGTAACTATCCATCAAAAATAGTACTGCAAGTGGGATAAGTTCTGGGCAGCTCAGGACAGCTTTGTTTGAAAAGGGATATTTTTTGAAAAGTATTTTATACTCTCTGGACTCATAAAAAAAACAACACCTTGTGGTTGTTTAAATGTGATTGGATGTGGGCCTTAGGGCAGCGACCCACAGACCACATTTGGAGGGACTTCCCCAATGGCTGGAAGATGTATTTCTAAGAACCTGTCAGCAGAGGGCAGAGTAGCACTCGGCACCCTTCTGACAGCTTGGCAGGCTCACTCCCTTTCTATCCTCAGCTGGCATTTCTTGGTTAGAGGCCCAGCTTCTTCTGTTATCAGGAAGCAATTCCCTTTAGAAGAGCTCTCTGGCTTGCTTGGAATCATTTCTACTGTGTGGCCACTATTATACACTGAAAGACATGAATGAGTAAACTACCCTCCTACTCCTCATTTGCTGTAATATAACTCATTACTGCTCCAGGAAAGAGAGCACGGTGGGCTTCGTTAATTGCATGGCATGTTGGCCACCCTTCTAATTTTTTTTTTACATGCAAACATTTAAATCATCAATAGAATGAGCAGGTACTAACGAATATTTTCTTCTCATGAAAATGCAAATAAATCCCCCTAAAGCAAAAGTTCTTATCTTTGGCTACACAAGGAAATCCATTTGCTATGCTTTTAATCCCCAGTTCCCGAAAGGTTCTGATGTAATTGATCTGAGGTACAACCTGGACATGAGTTTTCTAAAGCTCCCTGGTGATTCTTACGTGCAGCCGGGGCTTGGTTAGATCCATGGCTCTAAAGCAGGGGTCCTCAAACTTTTTAAACAGGGGGCCAGTTCACTGTCCCTCAGACAGTTGGAGGGCCGGACTATAGTTTAAAAAAAAACTATGAACAAATTCCTATGCACACTGCACATATCTTATTTTGAAGTAAAAAAACAAAATGGGAACAAATACAATATTTGTATTTGCATGTGGCCCGCGGGCCGTAGTTTGAGGACCCCTGAGCTAAAGCATAGCTCTGATCTGTTATCCTTATGTCCCACCCCATTCCTTTGGGTCCTCCCAAATGCATCTTTAGAAAGGTTGCTGTACCTTCATGGAATTTATTTCTACCTGTAATTTACTATTCCCACACCTACACTTCTCCCTGTCTATTTACCCTTCTACCCAGGGAGCTCTTTCTCTCCTCTTCACCTGTCACAGTCCTCTCCGTCCTTGAAGCACCATCTCCAATGCCCTTTTCCCTACAGTACTTTCTGTTACTTCCTGCCCCCTACTCTCCCCCCTAGAAAGCAGAGATTATAGCAGCCTTTTCGCTTTCAGCAGGTGCTCAGGATTGAGTGAATGAATGGTTCTGAGTTAACAATATTTTGTTAAGGTTCTTTATGGACACTGCCTTCCTTGTGTGCACAATATTGACAGTGACTTTATATGTTTCACACAGAGAACTTGGGTTTTAGTGCAGGAAGCATTAAACACCATTAACTTTCCTAGCCCTGGGCTCTGGTACTTCTTAGCTTTGGGGAAAACACCTCGAAACCTGTGCTCGGCTGCCAGAGTGGTAGGAACATGGCTCTGGGTTCTGGTCTTACACTCTCAGCCTTGAATGGATTCATTAGCCTCACTGAGCCAGTGGTTCTCCACGCTCTCATCCCACCTCCTCCTGTTCTGCCCTCACACCTCCAAGGACTGACGCAGACCCACATTCCTATGCTCAGCTTCAACACCCAAACCACGTTTCTAGTTGTTGTGGGTGCTTCTTGGTACTTCATTTCACGGGGGCATTTCCCGCCTCAGACCATAAAGATGCACACCCACCCCTTACCTCTCTACCCCCTGCTCCCACTTCATGATGCAGATTAGGAGGCAGACAAGGATATCCTGTGTGCCTTCCCTCTGCCTGGGCCCTGGCACTACCTCTGTGGACTTCCAGAGGGAGGTCAAAGATTGTAGCAAAATTATTTATAGTTACACCCGCCTCTCTTCCTCATGGGTTCTGTATACCAATCGCTATCCGTATTATAATGTGCCCTGTCTTCTGAACACTCTGTGTGCTGAATTTGCTGGTGTTTTAGACCAGCTTACACATTGGGATGGGCCTTAGTAGGCCCACAACTGTCACATTTTACAGATTTCAGAAGACACGCAGGAGAATCCAACTCCCAGCTCAGGCCCAATTGTTACTTTCCATTAAGTATTTTGCCTGTTAAATTCTAGTTTTGCATGTTAAATCTTTTAAAGATTACCTTGCTGTTTGGTTGTGTTATTGCTTTTAAATTTAAAAAAGGGGAAAGTAATCAGTGTCAACTGCTTCAGAGGCCGTGGAGCGGCTCACTTAGCTACTCACTTCACATTTGCTGGTTGGCAGGACTTCACACACTTGAGGGGCAGACACCTTGAGTGAACCTTAGGAGCCAGAGGCCTTGTCCCAGCTTCATCACTCTGTGGCTGTGGGCAGGTAGTCTTACCTGTCCAGCTCTCCGTTCCCTCCTAGACAAAGAGAGAGACATGGACCATGGCTCATACTCATGAGAGTTCTGAAACCAACACTGGGGAGACGAGAGCAAGCCTGGACGGTCTGGAGGCACCAAGTCATAGGATTGCTGCACAGAAGCATCAATCACCATGTCCGCTCCGTTAGGGCAAGGACATTTCTCTTTAGTGTTTGCTGCCTGAATGCCAAGCACCTAGTCTAGTGCTCATCTGCTGGTGAAATGCTCCAAAAATATTTGTTGATTATTGAGTAGTAATCCAGGTTTTAGTTTGCAGATCTGAAAGTGGAAAGCAGAAAAGTTAGGCGACTCCCTCAGAAAAGGGAGGTGATTTGTACAGCTGCCTACCAATAGTCGGTCCCAGTTGATCATTTCTATGAAGCTCCTGTTGGTGAGGAGATCCCAGGCTCTGACACTTGACTCACTGATCTCGTTTGTGACAGCACAAAGGGCCTGATGAAAATCTGAGGGAAGTTAGTCATGCAGCTTCTGTCCATTGCCATTGCCTTTTTTCATGAGAACGTTGTGTAGGGAGAAGCTTCTACCTGGGTCCTCAGAAAGAGAGAGAGGAGAACGTGCTCCGACTGGTAATGAAAGTTGGTAGCAGCGTCAAATGTGACAAATTTCTTTTGTTCCTTTTCTCTGACAGGTCAGTCCTCTCAGCAGCCATCAAACCACCGAATGCAGCAACAGTAAATCAGAGACTGAGTTGGGTGATTTAAGAGTTAAATCTTTCCTTCCTGTTCCTAGAAGTAAAGTTACACAGTGTTCCCAGAACACCAAAAGAAGCAGCAGCAGCAGTAATACAAGGCAAATAGAAATAAACAACAACTCAAAAAACGAGATTTGGAACTTACACACAAAATGAACACGTAGAAAAATCTAACAACTAGGCCTGCCTACAATATTCTCACTCTTAACTTCTGTAAATTTCAAACAGAAACCAAGGACAACAAGATGTAAATACCTTCAAATGAATAAAATATTTTCACATAATATGAAGTATGAGTGCAGGACCACTATTCATTTTTTGTAAAGAATGTATTTATAACCAATAATTTGTTGCTTTTTTTCATTTCTGTAAGATTGAACTTCAATATCAAGAAGTAATGCTAACTTTTCAAGTAGTTTTATAATAGAATTATTGTAATAGTTTTAATCAACATGTTCAGGGAGTATTAAAACTGTGTGTACTGTATACCTATATATGTATATCTAAATATGTATATATTTAAGAAAGTCAAGGAATCATATTGCATCCTAAAAGCTACAAAATGTGTACAGTGTTGGCTTCGATAAAGTACCATTTTAAATGGAGATCATAATTTTATGTTCACTTGATGAGGAATGACTCAGAATGAGGCAATAACTAATCATTTCTAAACAATTACTTTCCATTAAAAGCCATATTAAGTATTTTGCCTGTTAAATTCTAGTTTTATGTTTTAAATCTTTTAATAGTTACATTGCTGATTGGTTTATCATGTATATTTATGCTTATGAGTTTGCATTATGACTGTAAAATACAAAATTATATAATGCAATAAAATGTTATTCTTTCTTATAAAAGTTTTGTACCTAAGTGGATATGAAAAAGATTACATAAGTGCTTCAATAAATTAATCCAAGAGTTAACTCCCTTTTCAATTTAATTCTGGTAGCATAACTGATATTTTTTAGAACTGTTTCTCTAAAATTAATGAAATTACTCTTACTTATACAAATCAAAGTTAAGATGCTTTGACATCAAATAAAATATTGAATTAGAGCCTGGCCAGTGTGGCTCAGTAGTTGAGCATTGACCTATGAACCAGGAGGTCATGGTTCGATTCTGGTCAGGACACATGCCCGGGTTTCGTGCTCAATCCCCAGTGTAGAGCATACAGGAGGCAGCTGATCAATGAGTCTCTCTTACTATTGATGTTTCTATCTCTCTCTCCCTCCCTTCCTCTCTCTCTAAAATCAATAAAAAACATTTTTAAATATTTTCAAAAATACTGAATTAGTGAAATAATTTTGCTGTAGTTTCTATCAATAGCTCATAGTAATTTGTCCCTGCAATAATAGATATTTGTGTTCCAACTTAGGGACATTCATGAAATGTGTCCTACATGTTGGTATTTTACTAGCTGTTCACAAAAGGGCCCACCCGTATTAGATAGTAGGTTTAAATAAAAATAAACATTTAAATCAAGCTCTAAAAATAAGGTGCTCACTGAACAAGCCACCTTCCTTTTTTTTTCTTAGGTATCCCCAAAAAAGTATGATTTTATACTAAGAATCATTTATTTGTCTTAAAAGTATTGAAAGCCCTTTCTTGGTCAGAATGATTTACACTGAAGTACACGTATGTGCATTGGTACTATATTAAACTCTTAAGGAATGTCTGAAAGTATCTTTAAAAAAGTCAAAATGTGTAGTCAAGATTATGCCATACATAAGGGGTGACGTGGAAGAAAATCTATCTGGGAAGAATTCTAACTATGTCAGCATTTTGCCTGGGCATTACCACTGCAAGGAGAATCTTGGAGTGTATAGCTCGAACTGCATGTATAGAGAAGTGGGCAGTGAGATGGATGGGGTGGGAGGTGGCTAGAGGAAGGGGCAAGGTGGGTGGATAGAAGAGACTGGAAGGAAATAGTCTTAGCTTAATGATTAGGCACTATGTTTTATACTAGAGGCCCGGTGCACAAAAATTTGTGCACTGGGGGGGGGTGTCCCTCAACCTGGCCTATGCCCTCTTGCAGTCTGGGACCCCTCAGAGGATGTCCACCTGCTGGCTTAGGCCCACTCCCTGGGAGATTGGGCCCAAGCTGGCAGTCAGACATCCCTCTTGCAGCCCGGCAGCCCTTGGGGGATGCCCACTTGCCAGCGGGGAGCAGGCCTAAGCTGCAGTTGGACATCCTTAGCGCTGCTGAGGAGGCGGGAAAGGCTCCCACCACCACCGCTGTACTGGCAGCCATCAGCCTGGCTTGTGGCTGAGGAGAGCTCCCCCTGTGGGAGCACACTGACCACCAGGGGGCAAATCCTGCATTGAGCATCTGCCCCGTGGTGGTCAGTGTGTGTCATAGTGACCAGTGATTCCCAGTCGCTCTGCTGTTAGGGTCAGTTTGCATATTACCCTTTTATTATATAGGATAGAGGCCTGGTGCATGGGTGGGGGCCGGCTGGTTTGCCCTGAAGGGTGTCCCAGATCAGGGTGGGGGTCCCGCTGGGGTGCCTCGCCAGCCTGGGTGAGGGGCTGAAGGGCTGAGGGTCATTTTCAGACTGGCCACACCCCCTTCAGGGTGGGGGTCCCGCTGGAGTGCCTGGCCAGCCTGGGTGAGGGGCTGATGGCTGTTTGCAGCTGGTCACACCCCCTTCAGGGTGAGGGTCCCCACTGGGGTGCCTGGCCAGCCTGGGTGAGGGGCTGATGGCTGTTTGCAGCTGGTCACACCCCCTTCAGGGTGAGGGTCCCCACTGGGGTGCCTGGCCAGCCTGGGTGAGGGGCTGATGGCTGTTTGCAGCTGGTCACACCCCCTTCAGGGTGAGGGTCCCCACTGGGGTGCCTGGCCAGCCTGGGTGAGGGGCTGATGGCTGTTTGCAGCTGGTCACACCCCCTTCAGGGTGAAAGCAGGTATCTGGGGTTTATTTACCTTCTATAATTGAAACTTTGTTGCTTTGAGTGGAGCTCAGAGCCCGACACGGCAGGCGGGGAAGCATGGCTTCCTATATCATTGGGGTAACCAAGCCTCCTGCTTGCTCCAGCTCCTTGGCTGCCGGCTGCCATCTTGGTTGGGTTAATTTGCATATAGTTGCTCTGATTTGCTGGTGGGCATGGCTTAAGGTGTAGCAAAGGTATGGTCAATTTGCATGTTTGTCTTTTATTAGTGTAGATTAGCATCTTTTCTGAAGATAAAGTTCCTATTAAAAATTGATACCTAAAAATACATACCATTTTTATACACCAATAGTAAACTCTCAGAAAGAGAAACTAAAGAAAAATCCCATTTACCATTGCAATAAAAAAAAAAATTAAGATACTTAGGAATAAACCTAACTAAGGAGGTAAAAATCTATACTCTGAAAACTACAGGACGTTGGGAAAAAAAGATAGAGGGAGATATAAAAAAAAGTGGAAGAATATAACATGTTCATGGATTGGTAGCATCAACATCATTAAAATGTCCATATTACCCAAAGCAATCTACAGATTCAATGCAATCCCTATTAAAATACCAACAGCATATTTCACAGACCTAGAAAAAACACTCAAAAAATGTTTATGCAACCAAAAACCCTGACTAGCTGCAGCAATCTTGAGAAAGAACAAAGTTGGAGGAATCATAATACCAGATATCAAGTTATATTATCAAGCCACTGTGCTCAAAACAGCCTGGTACTGGCACAAGAACAGTCATATAGACCAATGGAACAGAACAGAAACCAGAAATCAACACAAGCCACTACGCTCGAATGTTTGACAAAGGGGGCAAGAGCATACATTGGAGCAGAGACAGTCTCTTCAATAAATTGTGTTGGGAAAATTGGACAGGTGCATGCAAAAAAATGAACTAGACCACCAACTTTTACACCATACACAAGAATAAACTCAAAATAGATAAAAGACTTAAATGTAAGATGTGAAACCATAAAAGTCCTAGAAGAAACCATAGGCACCAAAATCTCAGACATCTCTCATTGCAACATGTTTAATGATACATCTCCTAGGACAATGGAAACTAAGGAGAAAATAAACAAGTGGGATTACGTGAAAATAAAAAGAACTGAAAAATAAACCATCAACAAAGTAACAGGAGACCCCACTACATGGAGAATATATTTGCCAATGATACATCTGATAAGGGGTTAATCTCCAAAATATATAGGGAACAGATATAACTTAACAAAAGGAAGACAACCCAATTTTTAAATGGTCAAAGGACCTAAATAGACACTTCTCTAAAGTGGACACACAGATGGCCAGGAGACATGAAAAAATGCTCAAAGTCACTAATCATCTGAGAGATGCAAATCAAAACAACAAGGAGACATCACCTCACACCTGTCAGAATGGCTGTCATCAACAAATCAACAAACAACAAGTGTTAGCAACATTGTGGAGAAAAGGACACCCTAGTACACTGCTGGTGGGAATGCAGACTGGTGCAGCCATTGTGGAAAACAGTATGGAGTTTCCTCAAGAAATTAAAAATGGAACTCCCATTTGACCCAGTGATCCTACTTGTAGGAATATATCCTAAGAAACCTGAAACACTCATCAGAAAGGATATATGCACCCCTATGTTCATAGCAGCACAATTTACAGTAGCTAAGATTTGGAAACAGCCTAAGTGCCCATCAGCAGATGAATGGATAAAAACCTTATGGTAAATTTACACAATGGAATACTACACAGCAATAAAAAGGAAGAACTCTTACCATTTGCAAAAGCATGGATGGACCTGGAGAATATTATGCTAAGTGAAATAAGCCAGTCAGAGGAAGATACGTATCACATTATCTCACTCATGTGGAACTAATGAACCAAATAAACTGATGATCAAAAATAGACCCAGAGACATAGAAGCATGAAGAGATTGTTGAATCTCAGAGGGAAGGGAGGAGAGGGTGGTTGGGAAAAGATCAACCAATGAACTTATATGCATGCATGCATAACCCACGGTGAGGGCCTGGGGAGTAGATGGGAGCGGGTTGGAAGAGGTTAATGAAGGAAAAAAGAGGACCATATCTATTCTGTCTTAAATAGTCAAGACACTTGAATATCAGGATTCATGAGCTCAAATTCTAACCACAAAGCTAACTTAATATCTCTGGGCTTCAATATCCTCAGTAGAAATATTAGAGAATTTTTCTTGTTCCCAGGGGGAAAAAAGCACAACAGAAAAACCAGAAATCCTACTGAAAAGAATCAACAGTAGACTAGAAGAAGCAAAGGACCTAATCAGTGAATTAGAAGAAAAGGTACAACAACAAAAAATTCAGAGCAGCAATTGTGTGTGGGGGGGGGAGGGGGGAGCAATAGGAGAGTTTAAGGGAGCTTTTGGACAACATGTAAGTTAACAACATCTACATAAATCAACAGCAGATTAGATAAAGCAGGAGATCAAATCAGCAAATTGGAAGTAAAGGTAGCAGAAAATACCCAATCAGAGCATGTGTGTGGGTAGCCATAGGGTGACTACAACATCTTCTTTTCCTTCCTTTCAGTTGCTAAATGTTAATTTATGTCTTACTTAATCCTATAAATACTTGTATATTAAGTATCTTTACCTTTAAACCTAGTATTTGCCCAGTGTACTTGAAGAGAATTACTGTATCAACTAATCCTTTCTACAATGTTTACAGTTGGGCAGTCATGTCAGCCATGGAAGTCTTGTGGTATTTATTTGTGTTTGTTTATTTCAGTGTAAGCCTACACCCTGTTAAGCTCACATCTTCCCTATTCATTGGAACATTTGCATTGGCAAGATGGATCATTATTTTGTTCTTTCTCATGCTTCTTTGACTTGTTTACCTCATAACCACTTTAGAGATTTTAAAATGAGACCCAGGTTCATGGCAGCACACAGCACTCTGTGACTAGATCTGAGATTGAATGACTACTTTCTCATTTCAAATCTAGGCCAATTCCC